AGAGAGAGAGAGAGAGAGAGAGAGAGAGAGAGAGAGAGAGAGAGGGCAGTAGATATCATATCGGCATACAGAAAGGGGGAAGAAGTAGTGTTGGAATATACTCACATCGGCGAGGAGCTGCATGACGTAGCAGTCAGACTCTTGCCCGTAGGCTTGCATGAGTGAAATTAAGGTACTGACAGGCTTTAACCCTGATTTGCAGAATGCATAGTAATCATCCAGGATACCTATCTTGGAAAGTTCCGATAGATATGGGAATCACACACCACACAGTAATCAGTCACCAGGTGAGTCATGCTATCAACTCCACAGCACAGCACCCGCCTTTCTCCGTCTCTTCCCCGAGACAGGACCTTCCTGACAGCGTTATTTTCTCTGAGTTCTTTATTTTTATTTTTATTTTTTTAATTTTGGACCATTTCTTGATTTATGCGTGTCATCCTTGTGCAGGGGCCACGCTGATCTTTTCTCTTCTTTGTATCGTTCCAATTTTAACGGATGTCCTGAAGGACATTTTCGCCGAGTCGTCTTACTCTCGGGAAAAACAACTTTCAGCAGACAGTTCAACTAGCAGCTTCTACTTAAAGGGGGGAAAAAAGAAGATTCTGTAGAAGCTTCTGGAGACATAAAATTGGACCAATTGCTGGAGTCCATGCACGCTCACTTTTTTTTTTTTAACTTTTTTTTTTCGCTTTCTCTTTTGTCCTTTTGGAATGATTTTTCCTGTTTTGCATGTGTTGCCGTGCATACATATACTCCGACGAAACAGTTTCATCACAGCCCCTCGTTTCTGGCCTTCCTTCCCCCGCGGCCTCCACACTCCACCAGACAGCTTCCAGGCACCAGCTGAACGGCTCTCTTCACAGCCACCGTTGCTGCTCTCCATTTCCCTCGTTCGTGGTTCTCTGTTCCTCGAGCAGCGCCGCTGCTAGCAGCAAATGCCCGAATGATTGGTGCTACTTTGGAGGCCACGTGCAGGACCAGCAGGCATTGTCTGAGCCTACTGGGGCTGCGACCAAGCCCTAGCCTCTGTCACTAACTCCCGGGCTGGGCCTACGGTTCAGTTACAGGCACTGGCCTTGTTGTCGGCCCTCTGGTCGGCCTTCGCTTAGGGCGAGCTGTATATTTTCTGGCCCGCATTGTTAAGAGACCATACGATCTGAAGATCAGAAGTGAAATGAAGAGGAGTATGAAGACAAAGGACAAACACAAACACTAAGTATAAGCTGAAGATCTGAAGTGAAATGAACAGGAGTATGAAGATCTGATGAGAAATGTCAGAAGCATACCTTCCCTTTTCTCTCCCTCCTGTTACAATGTGTGAGTGGCACACGGGGATGTGGGAAGCTGCTGCTCAACCATCATCAACGTGGGCAGCCTTGTATGTGCGAAGCATAGTAAAAGAGGAGCTGCTGCCTCAAAGAAACCCCAGTTAAACACGGTTCAAAATGGTTCTATAACTTCTATTATGATTCATGTCGCTTGCTAAAGAGGTGAATTCTTTATTTGTTGGGCTAGCTCAACACAAATCTACTCATCTGGGTGGAATAGGGGTGGTTGTGGTGGAAACTTAAAACACACATACACACACACACACGCACACACACACCTGTCTCTTATACACATCTAGATGTGTATAAGAGACAGCAGTCGGGGGCGCGGGCGTCCGGGCCCGGACAATTCCATTTTTTTTACCAGCTAAAAGCATTAAAATTTTTAAAAATGGAAAAAAAATTAAAAAAAAAAGAGAACTTCTGAATTATGTGGGCCCGGGGCTAGGTCCCACTTGCACGAAATAAGAGATACTGACCGTAGATAGCAAAGATCAACGGCCCAAATCTCCTAATTTGCGCAAGTGGGACCTTGCCCCCGGTCAGTTCGATTGTGATACCTCCACCTGTGTTCAAATCCAACAGGGCCGTTGGTCTTTCGAAACAGCAGAAAAAAAAAAAACAAAAAAAAAACCGAAATCATACGTTTCTGGCGGGAGGAATCCACCTGTTTCCCCTACCGTCTTCGTCCGAGCACAACGCGCCCTCATTTAGGCTGTACCGGACCGGACAGATGGGTTGTATACATTCATTATCAGGTGCGTCATGTTGCGGGAAGACAGTAGGGTGCGTTTTTCAAATCTCTTCTGGCCAACCTTGTCGGTGAACGGTCCCCCCTTGTCGGCGAACGGTCCCGCCCTGTCGGAGATCGGTTCAAAAGCGTGTACCGAATCGGCACTGACTCAGGGGCATACTCGAACTACCAGGAGTTTCCTTGATGTATGCGTCGGCTTTTCCGGCCCTGCCTGGATGCACCTGGAGCCAATTACGTCCAGAGAGAAGTTGAAAAAGTCCTAGTGGCAGTACGCCTTCGCTGTAAAAAAGGCAAAAAACATGACGGGTATACCTTTTTGCACATTTCGTGGAAGACTTCCGCCGGTTGAGTACAACCGAGCAGCGTTGTGGCGGGTAACTGAAATCCAGTGTGCACACACACACACACAGAGAGAGAGAGAGAGAGAGAGAGAGAGAGAGAGAGAGAGAGAGAGAGAGAGAGAGAGACACGGAAAAGCAGGAGCTCACCGGCGAAAGAGGGATCGGGGATCCGAGGCAAGTTTGCATGCTCACGTGGATGTGGAGAGAGAGAGAGAGAGAGAGAGAGAGAGAGAGAGAGAGAGAGAGAGAGAGAGAGAGGGAGGGAGGGAGGGAGGGAGAGAGGGAGAGAGGGAGGGAGGGAGAGGAAAAGGAGGGAGTGTGGAAAAGGTAAGGGTGAATCCATAGCGATGGGGAGAGAGAGAAAGGAGGGAGAGGGGGAACGAAGGCAAGGGTGATTCCATGGCCAGATGGAGAGAGAGGAAAAGGAGGGAGAGCAGGAGAGAAGGCAAGACTGATTCCATGGCCTTGTGGAGAGAAAGGAAAAAGAGGGAGAGCGGGAAAGGGGAGGGGGAATCAATGGCCACAGCCTCCCCCACAGGGATGGATTATGAGTTTCCCGCGGGCAAGTGTTGTGGAATACTGAGCGGCAGAGTTGGATGGCTAAGGAGAGAGCTGAAGCGGGAAGGGGGAGAAGAGAGAGCGAGGAGCGGGGGGGGCTGGAAAGGCAAGTGGTTTGCAAGGCAAGATAACTCCATGGCGATGGTGAGAGATCCGATCAATTCCGAGCCTGAACCAAGCCACTTTTCTGGCGATGTACATCGGCATCTCGTTCACGGTGGTTTGATTGATGATCACCATCATCATCATCTATTACCCGATTGGGCAAGTCGTCTGCCAATGGACGTTCATAAAAGGAAAGGTTCCACGTCTAGGTGTCCGGATCCCGACCAAGATCCCGAGCCTGGAGGAGCGTCGGGCAACAGCCCTGGTAATCCTCCAGGCTCGCGATCTCGACCGAGATCCCGCGATAGTCTGCTTGATGACAATCATGATTATGATGATGATGATGATGATGATGGATTATGCGATTGGACTGATCTGCCAATGGACATGCTGACGCTAATCTTTGGCCTCCTACCAGTGAAAGACAGGGTCCGTGTGGGAAATGTGTGCCAGAAGTGGCGATGCGCATCGCTCTATCCTGCCTGCTGGAAGGAGGTGGATCTGATGTCCATGAGCTCATCAGGGTGGGAATTGGAAGAGGTATTAAAGACTGTGATTTTGCGCAGCGCAGGGCAGCTACAGAGCCTTTCGGTTCCTAGATACAACGACTCGATGCTGGGGTACATTGGCAAGCATTGCCCTGTTCTGCAACAAGTCGAGCTTCTTCAGCAAGAGAAGATGGAGTACAATAGTCCGTCTTCGTTCAGAGTATCAACCCACCATACTCCGTCTACGTTCAGAGCATCAACGGGTGGAATCAAGGCGTTTGTCGAAGGCTGTCCCCAGCTTCGCTTGCTCCATGTCAATTGCCTTTTGGTTGATGGACACAAGGACGAGCTCTCTCAAATGGTTAGGCTACTCGTCTCTGGGTTTCCAAACTTAATCTCTTTGCACCTTGATGTGATTACAGCTCCTCCTCCTTATCTACCTCTACCTCTACCTCTACCTCCTCCTCGTTCGCTTGCTCATCTTCCCGAGATGATTGATGGTGACGATATCAGATTGATGATTGAACGATTACCTAATTTACAATTCCTGGGGCTAGCACGAGCGTCGATCACAGATGGGGATCTTCAATCCATCGCCAACGGTCTGCGCAGCTTGCGTTCGTTGTACCTGGCAATGTGTTACAATCTGAGCCGACGAGGGATCGAATCCTTCCTGTCCGCTCGGCCAGATGTTGAGATCACAGTGCGCGAATTACACTGAGTACAAGTAAGGGGGTGGGGAAGAGGGTCTCAATTTGGTCGGTAGGAGTGGGATTTCCGCCTAGCATGAGCTTTTGTCACGGATGGGGAGGGGTCTGCGAAGGTTGCGCTAGTTGTATTTGGGCAACGTGTTAACAATCTGACCCGACGAGGGATCGAATCCTTCCTGTCCGCTCGGGCAGATATTGAGATCACAGTGCGCGAATTACACTGAGTTACAAGTACTTCTCGAGGGGGGGAGGGGTGGGGTGGGGCGGGGGGGGGGGGGGGGAAGGGCCTATTTGATCAATAGGAGTGGGATTTTTTTTTTTTTTTTTTTTCCATTTGATGATGGGCCTTTTTTGGACCACCAGCGGGTATTATCCCATTGATTTCGTTTCAGATAGGAAACTTTTAATCGTTGAATTCTTTACACTAATTCATCTTGTTCGACTTCAGGAATACCTTGAAGGTTGTTCCTGCCACGCTGTAAATACTTTTTCAACTGGATCTGGGGATTGTTGCGGCTACACGGTCTATTCATACTCTACATGGACTTCTCATTGTGTTCATACTCTACATGGATGCATCGGCGAAACTTCTCATTGTGAATTGGAACTAGGTGGGTAGGTTTATCTGACTCTCATCAGTGGCAGACCGAGCAATCTATGATCAGCTTGGACCTATGTACATGTACATACATACATACATACATACAATCATCCATGTAGACAGACCTACATACATACATACATACAATCATCCATGTAGACAGACCTACATACATACATACATACATACATACATACATACATACATACATACATACATACATACATACATACATACATACATAATCTCTGATGATCTTAGATCTAATATACATACATACATACATACATACATTAAATCAGTTATGTATGTATACATACATACAATCATCCATGTAGACAGACCTA